TTGGACTGTTTGGTATCCCCTACGTGAGTATCTTTTCTTCTGAAGTGTCATTTGATAGGCAGTTTTGAACGTTACACTATATATGTTCGTAAAAGCCGTTACCGTGCTTTATTTCAAGAAAACAGATACACCTTTGCCCCAACAGTAAGTGTTCATATCTGCACTTTTTTTGCCCTAGATCGGAGCGGACATCTGTGGTTTTCTCCTGGACACGACAGAACAGCTGTGCCAGCGGTGGATGCAGCTCGGAGCTTTCTACCCATACTCACGGAACCACAACCACAACGACTTTATAGTACGTATTGCCTTTGTTTGTTTGCATCGTTGTATCCGTGTATGGTGGATGTAAGTGTTAGTAGTGGTCAAGGCATCTGTACAAGCCTCTCTCTCTCTGTCTCTCTCTTTCGCTCTCTCTGTCTCGCTCTGTCGTGACTCTCAGGAGTCTATTGTACATTTTGTATCTCTTTCAATTTTGTTTGGTTTTCATTACCGGTAAACCACATTTAGGCATAAGACACCGGTTTTGTACAATAGATATAATCTGTGTAAGACCGGACCGTAAAGTTTTTAAGGTTGTCAATGAATAAATCGCCAATAGCTAAATTGACTCACATTTATCACATGTGTGGTGTTCTGAGTGGCGTCGAGTGGCGTAGTGGACAGAGCGTTCGGCGTTCAACAAGGAGCCCCGGGTTCGATTCCGGGTCGGAGCACGGGGGCATGTCCGAACATGCGCACCGACGTTGTGCCCTTGGGAAAGGCATTTTACACGTATCCCCCCTCAAATAGAGGGATAAGTCTCCAACGGCAGCTGTCTTCAGCTGGCGGACGAGAGCAGCGCCAGGCGAGCTGGCGTGGTCAAGGCGGACCTTGAGCGTAACCAAGTCATCCGGCAGCTCGCTGCAAGCACCCGAACCGGAACCAGCACGTCTCCCTCGATGGATCCGCTGGGGAAGACGGATGCCCAAGTGTATCGTATGAATACATATGTGTACATGAATCTGTATCTGATTGCAAATAAAGATATCGAGTGATTGCCATAGATAGGTGTTCTGAAACTGGATTCATGTTCCTCAAACCCAGGACCAGGACCCTGCAGTCTTCAGTCAGGCCATGATCGACTCTACCCGTGACGTCATGATGACGCGCTACACCCTGCTGCCCTACCTGTACACGCTGTTCTACCACGCCCACGTTACCGGGGCAACGGTCGTCAGGCCGCTCCTGCACGAGTAAGGCATACCTCCTGTGCTCTTAGAGCCCCACCCTTAACCACAATTAACGTTGTTTGGTTCCTTTGCAGCTTTTGAATATGTTACGCAATGTTCGAACATACACGTATTAATCTTTCTTGTCGGTCTTTCTGGTTGGGGCAAGGAGTCCAACTTCAACAATTAAAATCAATGATGGCATTCCGAGTTTTAGGTAACTTTTTGGCATCTTTATCTATTCTGGCGGAACTATACTTTATTACAGATAAATGTAGTACTAGTACCTAACACATCAATGAACATTTTCTGAATACTGTTAGCATTGGCCACAATGCCTTTTCCGATAAAAAATCACTTTAGACGATAAGAAAAGACATAAATGACGTTTGTCTGCATACCTGACACTCCCTTCAGGTTCCCTACCGACTCCAACACGTGGGACGTTGACAGGCAGTTTCTGTGGGGCAGCGGGCTGCTCATCTCACCTGTACTAACACCGGTACGAGAACATTTCATTCTTTCTCTCTCATATGGTCAATCATGGTAGTCTGCTCGTTCTTTGATAGGAAATGATCACAAATTTGCTTATATATTTGGGGCAGATCGAATGATTTATTCCATCAGAATCATGGATGGTCGTAAGTTTCTGTTTTAACTCATATATATTGGCCCTACAGGACACTGTCACCGTGGACGCCTACTTTCCAGATACTCCCTGGTACGACTATTTTACGGTAAGAAGGACTGTGGAATCAAATGTATTGCAGCTAGTATCAACCGGATAATGTACACTAATATAGTATCAGGCTTCATTTGCGTGTTGACATACGTGTACTTGTCAAATTTATCAACAAATATTTGAAACGAAAGACTCTGTTTGCCTGCCAACATTGACACAATGCATGGAAAAAAGTAAGAACAAAACATCCTAATATTTTCAAACCAGGGTCAAGAGGTCGAAGGTCAGTACAGAGGTCAGACGGTGACCCTGGCTGCTCCACTGAACAAGATTAACGTCCATGTACGAGGTGGCACGATTCTGCCGACTCAGCAACCTGCTAACACTACCGTCTACAGGTACGTGTTCGTCAATTGTCCGTATCACATAATAGTCAGCGTTTAATAGACCGCCTAAAGGCGTAACTTACCGTTTCTGTTGAGCGCAAGCTACAGACAAGATGCCAGCACCCCCCCTCCCCCAACCCCACCCCACGTATTTTGCTCATATGGTTGGTTCTTCAGCAAGTCCTAAAATGTGAAATGTATGCATACAAAATATGCACTAGATGTGATCTACATAATGATCTAGATGAATAAAAGACTGACCACATCACAACATGTAAGACGGTAAATAATATTACATCCTCTGGGAACAATTGTTCAGCCATCTGTAGTTGATCGTACTATGTTCTCGCTGCCACTGTTTGCCGTTTTCCGGTTGTTAAGGAAAAACCATAACAACAAAAAATGCTGCATATATAGATTTTGGGTGTAGAGAGGCCTGCATATGCGAGCAAATACAGCATATTTCACTCTATTTCCCGCCCAGCCGGAGGAACCCGATGGGTCTGCTGGTTGCCATGGACGACGCGTCTGCAGCATCCGGGACATTGTTCTGGGACGACGGAGAGGCTGTCGGTAAGGTCAATCAATTCTAGCCATTTGATTGGATGATGGTGAATTATTCTAGCCATTTGATTGGATGATGGTGAATTATTCTAGCCATTTGATTGGACGATGGTGAATTATTTATTAACCATCCTCTTAATCTTTAGGTAAATGTTATTAGTCATGCTTTATGTTTCCTAAACCTCATCTGTAAATAACTCAGAAGGTTTGATTGGTATAAAAAATAATGTATTATGATGTATAAGAGGGATGTATATTGTTGTAATTTTTGATTTGTGTACGCAAACTTTCTGCAATTCAGCGAGTTTTATCCCTGATGTAAGGTTTGCTTTTGATGTCACGAATAGATGAAATATAACTCTTATTTGCAGTGTGTTCTTTTATTAGAATTGTGACTTACACATTCTTCTGCATGTTCATGGATTTTGGTATAATTTGCACCAACAGATTCCGTAGCGCGCAAAGACTACGTCTTCGTCAATTTTACCGCATCATCGGTGAGTCTTGTTTGTTTGCTTTTCCTTTTTTCTATCTTTAAATGCAGCCTCCAAAAATATTCCAATACGTGTCTGAATTCATATTTTCAACCTTTTCCTACTGCCTATCCCTGTAACCAATGAAAAAATGACACCAGAAAAGCTATTTCAGCAGGGACAGTTAGCTTAAACAAAGCATTGAAAAACCGTATGTTTCAGCAAAATCGTCTTTTCCATAGCCTGGTTACCAAACCTTTTATAGCTTTCGAGTCCTACAGCCTCTCCACCAAACCTATTATAGCTCCCGAATCCTACAGCCTCCCCATCAAACCTATTATAGCTCCCAAGTCGTACAGCCTCTCCACAAATAGGAGAGAATGTAGGACTCGGGAGCTATAATATGTTTGATAACCAGGCTATCTTTTCCAACCCAGACTGAGTTACTGTGTGAGGTTGTGAACGTCCCACTCGGCGGACCGACTCCCGGCCATTGGGCCGCTCTCCGGTACGGCACCGTGTCGGTGTACGGGCTCGCCCTCGGCACGGGGACGCCTACCGTCCGGGCTGGTCCCTCGATCGGCCCGCTACAGGCCGTCGCGGGAAGCAGAGTGCAGTACGACAGAGATAACCAGGTAAGTTTTTTTTTTATTCAGTGAACAAATTTATTGATTCAGAATCTTTTAATTTCATTTTTCGGCCTCCTAGTCATTGCTCTAATCATTAGACTTAGATGGAGGAATGTTTTGTAACAGTTGCATATGCCACTAAATGTTTCTGTGTAAACACCGAATGCCATAAGTATGATTTCAGACCTTTCCTTGTACAAGTGTTGAAGAACCATTTGCCAGTCATTTGTCTAGTAAACTGTTCCTGTCAATGTGGGTTGTAGTAATCTCCAAGCAGATCCATTTCGGTGGCAAGACAGTATGCAGTAGCCAGAGGAGTTTTGCCAGCCACTCCTCTGGCTAATTGATACTGTCTTGCCACCGAAAGGGATCTGCTTGGAGATTAGGTTCTAGACGACATAGGCATTCATTTAATTGATACCGTTACGTTCACTGTTGGAAAGATAGGGAAAACAGTTTTCCGTTTAGTCAAAATATTTTACTTTTTTCAGGTTCTACTCTTGACGGACCTCAATGACATGGACCTAAAGATCACTTCCAGTCTACGGGTCATCTGGGGTTAAAGGTCATCTGCAAGGTCAGAGGTCAACTTGGGTCAAGAGAACAACAGCAACCACGTCATCACGTACACTCTAGGGTTAGTCTACTTAAAGAACAGCGAGAAAAGTTTTCTTTCTAAACATCTAAACTTTAACTTTTATTGCCACATACAAAACAATTCGTCCCAACTTCTGTCCGGTAGCCTTCATCAGATTGCAATGACAAGCCGCTAAGTCACGTGATATCAGCAATTGGTGTGTTTTGTTCGGTTTGTTCAACGTTTCGTTTTCTAAAGTAGTGCAACAACACTCTCTGGTAGAGCTGTTATTACATTCGAATGAAAGTTCATCTGTGTTGGTAGAATCCATACTGTTATAGAATTTCAGCTTGTTCCAACACAAAGAAATAACCATAAATTTTCGGTTATTACATTGTTATATTGCATTTTTATACAAAGGATCGCAAATTTAAATTACATGTCGTCTTTGTGCTGGGTCTAGTAGAAGTTGCCGAGTTGTTTACGTCTGCGCCCAGTTGAACCGCAAGCTCTGGGTGATGGGGAGGTCCATGGCCTGCAGGTCAGTCAGGCTAAGTACCTTTAGGTAATAGAGACAAACATATTAGGTTGACAATTCATGGCTGTTTATGGCCGTATCCTTGAAATTACAGTTGTTTGTTACGATGTCTGGTAGATCGTACAGTAATGTACAAAACAACCCATATATATGTATATACTGTTAAACGGTATGGTTTTAAGCGTGTCGTATAGAGGCTATTCGTTAATACATGCATGATCAATGATCAATCCTGGAATTCCAGAATGGTTGAGTTTTCATTCCCACGAAATGAAACATGTTATAACCCTATAAGATCAGTGCAGTCAACGCAGTTTTACAACAGCATTCAGTAACGATACAAGCTACAAAACTTACCTTGTTATCCGTCGGTGAAGGTTAGACATTCAGGATACTCAAACAACTGGATATGATTTCATTGACTTCACTTATTTGTATATCAATTGATAGTTCGTGCTTATAAACCTGCCTTTCTGACAACTGTCCAGTGTCACTGACGATAGGTAGTGGATGCTACCTGAAACGTCTGACCGTTTCCAAAATCATATCCAGTTGATTGAGTAACTGCTTTTTGGCTTACCTTGTTTTCCCTATCGTACTGCACTCTGCTTGCGGCGACGGTCTGTAGCGGGCCGTTCACGCGACCAGCCCGGACGGTAGGCGTCCCCGTGCCGAGGGCGAGCCCGTAGACCGACACGGTGCCGTACCGGAGACTGGCCCAGTGGTTTGGAGTCGGTCCTCCCAAGGGTAGAGCCACGACATTACAGATTAACTCAGTCTGAAAAGGCAATGATGTCAGGGGTAATATTCGTAACATCTATAAACATGTAATGACAAGCGCACGGAAAAACTCTATCTGATCCTCTAAACGTTTGACAGTTTTTAAAAAGCTGCTTGAGTTACTGTTTTCTCGTTGATCCACTATGTTTTTTTATAATGTTCTCTAACATTTAACTTAAGGACAACAAAAGAAGAAGAAAAAAGTGACATCAAAATGAGAAAAGAAGAGGGATGCATAGAAGGGGAGAGTGGCATCAAGATGAAACGTCTACTATGTTTTCCATGCCTTTCCCCTTATTAGGAAACACACGCTTTACGCTAAAAAGAGACAAGATGATAGTATTACCGAGGATGCACTGAAGTTCACGAACAAGTAATCGTTCCTTTCAATTGAATCTAGGAAGAAACAAAATGGAGTCATTCGGATTTAATAAGACAGTATACATGTAGTGATTTGATAAAAGCAGACCAGAATGCACAACCCTGACCACCCACTACATGACTTGGTACCGGGAGCCAGGTCGGATAGCACAGGGAGGTGTTTGAGGAACTCGGGGGGAATCACGGTGCCCAAGGCACGGACAAACAGACTGTACAACTCGTTCCTCCACTGCACAATTAGACTGTACAATAGCCAAATGCAGACCTAATTTTCTAGTGTTTCATGTCCCACTCTTGTATGTAATTGTCTTGTGCGTTTCTTATACTTATGTGAAGTCCACACAATTCAGGAGTACTATGTACCCCTGCTATGTTGACTGTTCTTAATAAATTGAAAAATTGAAATTGAGAAGTGCAAATTGAGTACTCTACTACAGCTCCAAGTACATGCACGTTCCGTAGGTCCCGAAATTCGTCCTATGTTTGCAAACTTATCATGACGTCATATGATGGCCGACTTACCGACAGCCTCTCCGTCGTCCCAGAACAATGTCCCGGATGCTGCAGACGAGTCGTCCATGGCAACCAGCAGACCCATCGGGTTCTTCCGACTGGGCGGGAGATAGAGTAAAATATGCTGTATTTGCTCGCAAATGCCGACCTATCTAGACCCACAATCAATGTCTACAGCATTGGTGTTTTTTGTCTTAGCAGATAGATAAAACTGGCATTATTACAGCAAAATAACCCATCGGGTTCTTCCGACTGGGAGGGAAACAGAACACAGGATTGAGATTTTCTTTTGTTCTACCAACCAAAACTTGGCCAAAATGATACAAAAATGGTTTTAATGCAATTACTAATCTGAAATCCCGTAATCAATCAGTAAAATGCGGGATAGAATTTATTAAGCACTATTCATTCAAGTCTGTTTGAATTCACCCAGAGATCACAGGCGATAGACATTCGATCGATCGACCGATCAACCAATTAATTAATCAGTTAATCAATTAATCAATCAATCAATCAAGCAAGCAACCAATCAATGGGTCGATCAATCAATCAATCAATCAACCAATCAGTTAATCAACCAATCGGCCAATCAATCAAGCCATCCGTTTATTAATTCATTCATTTATTTGCTGTAAAATCATTTGCTGAAAATGGATATATGATTTTAATCACATACCTGTAGACAGTAGTGTTGGCAGGTTGCTGAGTCGGCAGAATCGTGCCACCTCGTACATGGACGTTAATCTTGTTCAGTGGAGCAGCCAGGGTCACCGTCTGACCTCTGTACTGACCTTCGACCTCTTGACCCTGTCAACATAATATCAGTGAATATATAACACATCAAGTCACGCAGGTCACGTAGCATAGTACAAATTCCTTCGGTGGCGAGTCCTGACATGCCACCGATCTTGTGCCCTTGGGAAAGGCACTTTACACGACTTTCCTCACTTCGCTCAGGTGAAAATGAGTATTGCCCTGTCATGTATTTGTCCCCTGTGTTGGTGGCGGCATTAATATAAGTTGAAAAACTTGAGTGTGCTGCCACCGCCTCTGGTGATTACATGTTGGAATAAAAAAATCGTTCTCTTGTACAAAAACAATGCTAGAATGCTAGTTTATCTTGTGCCCTTGGGAAAGGAACTTTACACGACTTTCCTCACTCCTCCCAGGTCAAAAATGGGTACCTAACTTCGTTTGGGGAGTTAAAAAACGGTGGAAGGAGAGGAGATTGGCGCCGCCTTCCAATACCGTGCCCAGAGAAACACTGCCCCTACGGACCCCTACGGCCTGAAAAAAGACTACGGGACTATGTGACTACATTTACCTTAACCTAACAAGCTCAAGGTTCAAAAACACACACAGTGCTTTATGTGCTTTATGAAACTCCATTAGCGACATACAAGACAGTGGTACAAAATCAAGTATGTAGCTAATCTTCCTGGAGTTAAAATACAATAGTACAAATACACTACATTAAAATTACAACATTATTTACATACAACATTTAACTTAACATTAAAAAGTAACATCACATGTGCCTATCAACATGTGCCTATATACGCATGTGCTCTAACAACTCCTGCCTAAACCTACTCTTAGTTGCTGCTTGTACCTCATGTGGCAAAGTATTCCAAACTGTTAAGGATCTATAAATGAAAGTCTTCTTCAGGGCGTTCGTTTTGGGTTTCATTAAACAGTACAGTGCCAACGTACCGTGTAGTAGTCATACCATGGAGTGTCAGGGAAGTAGGCAGATACTGTTGTGGTGTCCTGCAACAAATAGGAACATGAACATGAACTTTATTGCTCAACAATCGTACAAGGTACAATGTATGGCAGTAATACAACAATAATACAAAACTTTACTTACTACAAACTACTATCTAAACAGTATATGAGTTACAATATGGTCATGTATTGATGATATGTTCTCGCTTATGGAATAAAGTGTATAGAAATTTGCCTACGTAAGGATATATGGAATTTGGACATGATAATAAGTCATAGAATGTATCGTACTGTGTACCAGATTGGGTAGATTTTGTCTTAGTAGTAATAGTCTGTAAGAATGTAATATATAATAGGTGATGTCAAAAGAACAACCGTACACTATTTATTCGTTTTGAAGGATCACACAATTCAAGTTTATATTGCAAAATAAAATTAAAGCTAGGGGGTAATTTCAACAAACTTTCAAACATACTTAATGTTGATGTGCATGAATACAAGGGCATATGGGAAACAGCAAATCCGACACTGGATGATAGAAATATTTTCTCGACCCTGTTGGTCGGTCTAATATCACAGGTACTAGTATTTTGTACTGTTTGGACTATCAAATAAAATGGCATCTTATAGATACGGCTAAATTCGGAATTTTCAGTCAGGTTAAAACAGGTTTTAGTCACACCAGAATCATACACTGATGAGACACGAAGGATGAGGTAGTTGCATGCAGATGTCTTTAATTTTCATTTCCAAGAAAAAAAACTTGATGCAGCCGCCATATTCAGACACGACTAACTGCCCGTTGTGAGTCAGTGCCAGCCCTATTGGAGCCAGAAATCCCGGTTCCTCCTCCGTCAGCATCGCTTTTACAAACGTGCCGTCCCGACTGAACAGGGAAACGCGAAATTCATCACCCACGATGATGTTGTCCTCGCTGTCCGTGATGACACAGTAGGGCTCGTACAGCTCACCAGGCCTCGAGCCAAGCGACCCGCACGTGAAGAGATGACGACCGGTAGGGTCAAATACCTTCACGTTGCATAGGTAAAAGTCACAGACGATGATCTGGTTGATGCTGTTGACGGTCAAGCTGAGGCAGTAACTCAGCTGCTGCTCACCTTGACCTTCGCCACCGAACTTGAGCATGACGTCACCGCTGGGGCTGAGGACGAACACTTCATGCCCGATAGTGACGATGATGCGTCCCGAACCGTCAACAGCGATGCCCCGTGTGTTGTCAACTGTCTCTGCAGCCCCTGTCACCTGGATGACGCGTGACTTCCTCCCCTGTTTGTCCAGAACGTGAATCTTGTGTCCGTCTCCTGTCACCAACAGCTCGCCGTTTGTCAGTGCCGCCACGCACTGAGGTTCGAACCCCAGATCAACTTTCTTCTTGAAGCAACCATTCATGTCCAAAAATTGCAGGCGTGAGTTGTCACGATCAGTTACTACAATGTCCCCTTCTGCGGTGACAGCAAGCGAGGATGGGGGGTTAAACTGACCGTCTCCAATGCCCCTCTCACCTCCAACAATTTTAACGTGTTTTAGACTCCCGTCGCCTTTAGTATTACCGATCGCCACGTTTGGTCGAACCTGCGTAATTAGAAGTGGAGATTTGGACTTCAGCCCCTGGACGCCATTCTGGGGGAGGGGCGCGTCCTGTCGGCATGTCGGACAGTCCAGTTTCCCTACCGGCTCTGCGGCCAGGAGCTTCTCCAAACACGGCTGGCAGAAGGTGTGAAGACACGGCAGCATCTTAGGCTGCTTAAAGTCCTCCAAACAGACCTGGCAGACGAGAAAGTCGTCGGCAATGTCGCTGAATGTGTCCCTCCGAACAAATCACTGACAAATGGAACATCCCAACGTGACGTCACATGTAAATTCCCTCCGACACACCTACAAACGGTCACGCGGTCAAAATAATCAATGAATCGATCACAACTGTTTCTTGAACTTTACCAAAGTTAACATACAAACACGCCCCTGGGCAAAGATGGCGTCCAACGTATTCAGCGACATTGCCGACGTCTGCCAGGTCTGTATGGAGGACTTCAAGCAGCCTAAGATGCTGCCGTGTCTTCACACCTTCTGCCAGCCGTGTTTGGAGAAGCTCCTGGCCGCAGAGCCGGTAGGGAAATTGGACTGTCCGACATGCCGACAGGACGTGCCCCTCCCCGAGAATGGCGTCCGGGGAATAAAGTCCACCTTCCTCGTCGGCAAACTGCGGTCGGACCAAACAGCGAACGAGAAAAAGGCTCGAAAGGTGGAAATGTCCAAAAACTTGTTCTTTGACCCTCCTGCAAGCAACGTGGAGCACAGAGTGTCTAATGTTGTCAGTGGGAGGAAAGAAACAAGCGTACCGATGCCATCTTCACCTATAACTACGCAGGTGCGGCCAAACGTAAAGGCGGGTTATAGTGGCGAGATTGAAACTATTGGGGACAGGGGCAAGGGGGATGGACAGTTTAAGTTTCCGACCTCGCTCGCTGTCACCGCAGAGGGGGACATTGTCGTGACTGATCATGACAACTCTCGGCTGGAATTTCTGGACAAAGATGGCGCGTTTAAGAAGAAGGTTAATCTTGGGTTCTGGCCTCGGTGCGTGGCGGCACTGACAAACGGCGAGCTGTTGGTGACAGGAGACGGACACAAGATTCACGTTCTGGACAAACAGGGGAGGAAGTCACGCGTCATCCAGGTGACAGGGGCTGCAGAGGCAGGTCAAACTACAAAAGGCATCGCTGTTGACGGTTTGGGACGCATCATCGTCACTATCGGGTGCCAAGTGTTCGTCCTCAGTCCCAGCGGTGACGTCATGCTCAAGTTTGGGGACCAGCTGAAGTTCGAGGACAAAGGTCAAGGTCAGCAGTATTTGGGTTCCGACCTTCGCCTGACCGTCAACAGCAGCGACCAGATCATCGTCAGTGACTGTGACAATCACAACGTGAAGATATTTGACCCTACCGGTCGTCATCTCTTCACGTGCGGGTCAGAAGGCTCGGGACCTGGTCAGCTGTTCTGGCCCTACTGTGTCATCGCGGACAGCGAGGACAACATCATCGTGGCTGACCGAGGCAACCATCGCGTTTCCCTGTTCAGTCCGGTTGGCATTTTTGTCAGGCACGTGCCGGAACAAGGACTGGACAGTGTGATGGGACTAGCGCTGACTCAAGACGGGAAGTTAGTCGTTTCTGTTTGCCATTCTGTCAAGATTTTCTTGTGAACGATACCCAAAGGCTTTTACAACTCCTCAATCCTTCGAGTATATATAAGGTTACGATGTTTCTAAGAGTCATTACCTGTATGTTAAAGTCATACATTCAATTTTGCCAGCAAAATGTCATATTATTTGGTAACCAAGCTTCAATTTCTTGTACAACTGGCCTTCAATCTCTTGTATAACTTCCGGCTTAGGACCAAGAGGTCGCGAGTTCGAATCCTACCATGTCACCGATCTTGTGCCCTTAGGAAAGGCACCTAAGAAGAACTTGAATACTTTTACCATTCTGGGCCACCTTTACAGTCAATCACTTCAGGGCATGCATTTTCACTCCTGCGGAGGAAACCCTCCCTTGACTTTTACCTACAAGTTTAAAGCTAAAGCTTAATGCTCCAGAATTTTAGAAATGCAAAATGGTATCGTACCGGTGTTAGTACAGGTGAGATGAGCAGCCCGCTGCCCCACAGAAACTGCCTGTCAACGTCCCACGTGTTGGAGTCGGTAGGGAACCTGGAAAATAATAGAAATTTACGATTACGATAATATTACGATATTGGATTAGGAACACCAAATTTTGGCGCAGTTTTGCATTGAAATGTGTGTTTTCTCAGGTGGGTATGAGATGAATTAAATACAACACAGTGTATTCCACATCACCTTCGGTCCCGGCCCTCCCGCGAGTCTGAAACCGTATTGTACTCTCTCTCTTTCTCTCTCTCTCTCTCCTTTCTTTCTCTCTCTCTCTCTCTATATATATATAGAGAGAGTCAGGCCATGATCGACATATATATATATATATATAGAGAGAGAGAGAGATAGATAGATAGATAGATAGATATATTAACCTTTTAATGTGCTAATAGTTGAAGAATAAAAGTGGAACATACAAATTAATTTTCAAGAGTGTGTCTTACTCGTGTAGGAGCGGCCTGACGACCGTTGCCCCGGTAACGTGGGCGTGGTAGAACAGCGTGTACAGGTAGGGCAGCAGGGTGTAGCGCGTCATCATGACGTCACGGGTAGAGTCGATCATAGCCTGACTGAAGACGGCCGGGTCCTGGTCCTGTAGTGAAACAAGAAACGCCTTTAAAAATAGCCAAGATGGAAATAGATGGTTGGGTCACATATCGTCAGTGTGATGACGATATGTGACCAGCACATAATAATTGGCCAGCTTGGTGACTTGAATAGGACTTATCGAACCATCGAACACCCAACCATCTTTAAGGCTGCAGAAACAGTCCAATACACAATATAAGATCTCCAGGGCACTATTAGCCCAGCCAAAACGTGTCATCACAGGAAATACAAGAAACCTGCACGGTAAACAATTACTAGTTAGTAGAAAGTAGGAAGCTAGAGAGACTAGGTCACTCCGTGAACAAGATGTACAGTTGACATCGAAAATTTGGAGGTACGTAATCTACCTTACAAAAATACAGTCACTGATCGTAGAATTTCTACTAACTGTAATTACTACGTGACTGATGAACCTCTTCAACGAAACAATTACTAGAATTTGATGGAGATGAAAAGGAGACAGAAAGGTTTTCTTTTTTTTTTAAGCCCAAAGATTTTAGGCTCAAGCTAGAAATCATAAGATACTTTATCTGTAACATAACTTGTGAAAAATATAGCTGGCAGTGAGTCATTTGCAAGCTCAATTTTGCCTTCAGGCTCCAGCTATCATGATCAGTTGCACTTTCCACAAATCGGCCTTACCTTGTAGTTCCTGTGGTTGTGGTTGCGAGAAAACGGGTAGAAAGCTCCGAGCTGCATCCACCTCTGACACAGCTGCTCTGTAGTGTCCCATAGAAAACCACAGATGTCCGCTCCGACCTGTGGAGGACATACAAAACGAACACTTATCTTATTATGTTTACCGAAGGAAAGCATCTTGTTTTTGCTACAATTCCTCTTCTTCTAATTTCGTTCCAAACACTGACCTCTGACCTGGCCAATGACCTGATTTGTTGACGTCTCTTCATACTCCTGTCTGGCCATATATATGAATGTGTTTGAGTAAGAATTAACAGAGCAGACCATATGCGAAGGTAAACACTATGCATTTGCTTTTCAAATGTTACCTATCTAGTTTAAATAATTTTACTTTCTTAACTGCGTCAATTTATCAATTGATGCATAAAAAGTCTTTAACGTGTTCAAGTGAATCCCCACTATGTTCACAGCAAAATGTATTATCTTACAACTTGGAGATACCATCAATACTTACGTAGGGGATTCCAAACAAGTTAAGCTCGAACAACCCTGAAAAAGAGACAAAATTATAATTACTGAGAAACTTTACAAATACAATAAGATCGTCCCTTTGTGGAAACAGATAAGAAAACTGAGCTCAAATCTTTCACTGTTTGGAGTCCAACTAGTATGGTTCTATTTTGTGAAAACTAAGGAATGTTCTAGTTTACGACAGCATTCGTGGGACTGTCGCATCGCGTCGTACAACTGTCTTACGGTGGTCGTGAGCGGGTCCTTACCGAAGATGGACCAGGCCATGTCCTCCCAGGCCGCCTTGTTGCTATACCAACGAAGACTCGAGTTTACGACAGCATTCGTGAGACAGTCGTGGAGTGTCGTACAACTGTCTTACGGCGGTCGTGAGCGGGTCCTTACCGGGTATAGACCAAGCCTTGTCCTCCCAGGCCACCTTATTGCTATACTAACGAAGACTTTAGTCTACGACACCATTCTTAGGACTGTCGTGGAGCGTCGTACAACTGTCTTACGGCGGTCGTGAGCGGGTCCTTACCGGGTATAGACCAGGCCATGTCCTCCCAGGCCGCCTTGTTGCTGCCCAGCCAGTGCCCGGCGTAGTGCCCGGTCCCGGGGAAGCTAGACCTGGTGATGATCACACCACGTTTTGTCGGGAAAACTCGCGACATCGCCCTGTGAAACAGACAACGTAAAAATCAGTGTGAGGTCAATGTCATATTGTGTCTGACAGTTGTTTACAGTTTGTTTCATATGCCCTTTATTTTGGTTTACTTTTTGAATGCCCACGATCATGATAACGATCATTCTGGCATACTCATTTTCACCTGACTGAAGTGAGAAAACATGTGAGTAAACATGATGCATTTGCTTTGCAAATGTTACTTTTCTAGTTACATTTGAATTACGATTCTGCGTCATTAGTTATCACTAGAAATGTTATTGGCAGATTCGGCAGAGCGCTGCCTCTGTTTAGTTGATCGAAAACATCAGTGTGTGTGTCTTTAAAGAATGAACTTGAATGAACTTGAATGAACTTTATTGCTCGACAATCGTGGATGGTACAATGTGTGGCAGTAATAAAACAATACTACAAAACTAAACTATCTTATTACATTTCTTACTACAAACTGCTATCTATACATATGTTACAATATGTTCATGTATTGATAATATGGTCTCGCTTAAGTGTACAGAAATTGGCCTACGTAAGCAGATATGGTAGTTGGACATGACAAATGACAGTATTTTTTGGTTACTCACGCGCGTGTAGCGATGGCCATACCATGTCCGTACAGGCTGTGGACGTCATAGTGTTTCCCCCAGAACTGCTGGGCGTCCATACAGAGCGTCAGGTCGTACATAATACTGCCTACAATCGCTGGAATACAGTTCACAGATGGATTTGTAGTTGATTGAATGGATCAGTGATTATGGCTGCTTTCGTGTCTGTAAAGACGACGATATTGTTACGTCTATAATCGCTGAAATACAAAGTGCATATCATCAGTATATCACCCATATACATGAATTCTTACATCTTTGATCCTTTACTGAAATCGTATGTCCATAAAGACCATTGAAGTCATAATATAAGTCATAGCATTTGTCTTGGGCTGCTACAAGGGTCGTACACGATGCTGCTGAAGTGCAGTTTAGGTTTAAATCAATGCATTTATCAGATACAAGGGATTTGGGTCATTTTCGACCCCTCACTGATCAAGCCGCTTGCCATTAGACCATAGACCTCATACAGAGACAGCCTACAATGCAAGAAGTACCGTATCAATTGGCAGACATCATAATCATTACATTAAAATGATAACAAGTTATCATTAATATTTTGCCTTTGTTAATTCAGGCTGTTTTATTTCAGCATATATACTCTCTAGCATCAAAAGATACATCGTGAAAGTAGTAGAGAAGGAGCGTAGCGTACCGGGTTTGTAAGGAGGATAGTTCCACCTGTTGCTCTCACATCCGTTGTTGGACCCGTTCATGAAACTTTTTGGTTCGTTCATGTCCTGTAACAACGTTCACAAAATCCAACTCAAGCATGATTGCACGTGGCATTTGAACGTATCAAGCATTATAAAGATAATGTGTTAACCTCCATGCAGATCTTTGGTGGCTGCAAATACAGTATCAAATTAGCCAGGTAGTATCCATTTGCGAGATACTTACCATTTTCCACGTGGTAGCTGTCTGGCAAATGGATACTGCCTGCCCAATTTGATTCTGTCTTTGCAGCAACCAAAAGATCTGCTTGGAGATTACACATATTTGCAACGTTGTCTATGATGCTGAAGATAATCTACAACCAGTTGATCGGTGACGGTGATTGTAAAATCCATGCGATTTTCAGATCTTCTTTTTTTCCATCTGTGAGACACTCATTGTTAGCCTGGTTACCAAACCTATTATAGCTCCCGAGTCCTACAGCCCCTATTTGCGGAGAGGATGTAGGACTCGGGAGCTATAATAGGTTTGGTAACCAGGCTAACTCATTGTAATATGCAATTCGTCAGAAAAAACTGTTGTTGTATCCTCCTAACTTTAACCAGTGTTACGTTCAACGCAAAGGAACGTAAAATGATAATTTTTATCTGCTAAACTGATCTATCAAATTGTAATCATAAGTATTGAAACAAGTCTACGCACGATCCAGAGCCCGTCGTACGGTATAACGTTGTGGAACTGTTGACAGTGTTCGCTCCACCAGTCTGTGGTGCTGGGCTTGGTGTAGTCTGGGAACAGCGTGGTCCCGGGCCACACCTTTCCAACGACGGGAAAGAAATAAACTGGTGAATATGCTTGGTATGTTATATCATGGAGCTAAAATATCACAAAGAGGGGGCACAAAATTTGCACCCGCCACAGCCTTTTGTTCTGCCGCGCTAGATCCCGCTGTGATTTTTAGCTCTATGGTTACATGTACTTACCTACCTTCCTTATTAATCTCTCAAGCTATCCTGGCGTTGGGGGGACAAGGTAGACATATGTATAACAAAGTGCACAAAAATTAACAATACATTGATATTCATCAAACAAATTTGCATACGGGGGACGATACCGACTTCCAACAACCTTTGACCCAAGCTTTACGTCACACTTCTGACAGGAAACCTTCGAGGAATTGGCCCAGTCTTTCTAAAGAAGACCGGAAGACTGACAGGAAAATTCGTTGTACGGCTTGGCATACTACATGTTATTATCTTCTGTACCGACTTAGTTGAACGTTCCTGCTAAACTGCAAGCCGTACGTGTAAGGTGGTAAATGCAGAGTTTAGCGCGAATGAATAAGTGTCTCACCTCTCCGATGAGGTTGGTCTCTCCGTCAGCCGCCTTGACGAAGACGCCGTCCCGAAGCCCGTCCTGGTACGGGAGGTAGGGCGACCCGTCCCGACGGTTAGAGTTGGTGATGGCTGGGTCCTGTTAGCAGAACAACACGACCGTTAGTACTAACCCTAACACACCGTTAGTGCTAACCCTACCAGACCGTTAGTGCTAACCCTAACTACACCGTACTGTAGCCCGGACTGGTACGGCAAGTAAGGCGACCCGTCCCGCCGGTTAGAGTTGGTTATGGCCGGGTCCTGCACGGCACACAGTGGCAAAATTAAAGAGACGTTGTGCATCATGTACCTCTCCTTATGTCATACCCGGGCCGCGATAACGTTCGATAACGGGTTCCGGACCGGGCCGTACTTTGCGGGCTTCCCTGGCTTCCATAGAACGATCCGAACGCGTTCTGCCCTAATCGTGTGCGCCGCTTTCGAAAATTCGAATACAAAATTCGGACGTTGGAATTGATGTTGTTGCATTTTTAGTTGTTTAGAGACACCAAACTTGGACTCATTTTGCATTGAAAGGCGCGTTTTCTTGGGTGGGTATGACATAAATAAAATGCAACACGGTGTATTCCGCATCGCCCTCGGTCCCGGCCCTCCCGCGACTCGGATCGCCCTCGGCCTTCGGCGGTCGGGCCGATACCTCGGGTGATACGGAATACCAAGTGTCGTATTCTATATCTATCCTTAAGCCGGGACTAAGGCTGCCACTGCCTTCCATCTGCAACACCCTCGTACAGACATTTTTAAAGCTGAAGAAAGATGCAATTCTATGAGCTGTACTGGAGTCTTCTGTGCACATTTGTGAGCACAGACGGACGGACAATTTGGTAACAAATCATCATCAGATCTCACCAGAATAATGATGTACTTCTGTCCATGATCGTGCAGATCCTGCACCAGATCCGGAAGCCCCTGGTACAGATCCTCGTCGTACGTGAAGTCCTTTCTATCCTCCATGTAGTCTATATCGCCATATTGGACATCCTATAACAAACGCAAAAGTTTCGCATTTGATAAATGTTTTCTAAATCAAATTTGAAGATCAGGAAAACTTAAACTCACAGGAAAACTTAAACGTAAGTACTAGATTAAAAGATTAAAAGATTTTAGATTAAAAGATATAGCCCTCACAATTTACCGCAAAAAAGACTAGCTACATGTTTTCAGTTAAAATTAAGGACAAGGTCTGTACCCAAACCCAATTCAAATATGTTAATCCTCATACAAACATTTTACTACTAAAATCACAGTTACAGGTATAACCTACAGATTGATAGCCAGTGTTTAGGTCCTGGACCGGATCAAAATCTGTATAATCGTGCCTGTAGCTGTACCTAAAATTGGTTATTAACTTGTCTTGGTCACTCACAGTCTTAGCCAGGTCTCTGCACATGTTACCAGCACGGTAGTCAGAGGTGGACTGAGGTCCGGTAGTTTATGTTAGCCGAATTTATTGGGTGATTTTATTATGTTAAGATCACTACTAGCTCTAATGCGGAAGAAGCTCCATAGAATTAAACTCCGTGAAAACTGCCAAGAAAAGAGACAAACGCCAGCCTTACATAAGGAATGCCCGTAGCCCGGTTCCGCTCTATGACTTCCCGTAGTACCGCGGTGTTGGTGTAGTTCCACCGGCAAAGCTGGAACCCCAAGCCCCAGTACGCAGGCATTACGGGTCGCCCGATCAACTGAAAGGAATACAATGTCCCTGTGGGCTTTCGTAGTTTGCAAATTGAATCTTGCCGTAGACAAGCTGAGACACGCACACACACGCACACAGGCACACACACACACACACACACACACACACACACACAGACACACACGCGCGCGCATACACACACACACACGCATACAAACATACACACACACACACTCACACACACACTCACACACACACACACACACACACACACACAAACACACAGTAACATGCCTGTCCTCGGTGCTGAACACTATCCAAACACACACACACACACACACACAGAGAGACAGACACATACGCACACGCAAACATACACACACACACACACACACACACACACACACACACACACACACACAGAAATCCAACACCCCGCCAATCACGCGGTACGTCACGGTTGGCATGGCAACCTTCTACATATATTATCTGTCTGAGAAAGGTCACTGACCTCTGTGTACTGCTGCACGACGTTTTCCGGGGAGGGTCCGAGGAACATGTAGAAATCCAACACCCCGCCAATCACGCGGTACGTCACGGTTGGCATGGCAACCGTCTACATATATTATCTGTCTGAGAAAGGTCACTGACCTCTGTGTACTGCTGCACGACGTTTTCCGGGGAGGGTCCGAGGAACATGTAGAAATCCAACATCCCGCCAATCACGCGGTACGTCACGGTTGGCATGGCAACCGTCTACATATATTATCTGTCTGAGAAAGGTCACTGACCTCTGTGTACTGCTGCACGACGTTTTCCGGGGAGGGTCCGAGGAACATGTAGAAATCCAACACCCCGCCAATCACGCGGTACGTCACAATGGGGGCGGAGTCAGCGGCGCCCGGCTGGAGGGTCACGTCTGGAAAACATAATTTCTTTTTCATTTACTTCAATTTTCACCTCAAAACAAGGCTCATACTAACCACTTACATGTTCTGGGTTCCATCAGGGGGGAGATGATACTATCCCATCATCCTTTGCAATACACATTTTACAACACGTGTCCCAGATGGCTGACTGTCAGCACCAGGCATATAGTCTTGTCATGTTTCCTTTAAAAGTGCAGCAATGGCAACAATTTGACCAGTAATTTTTGGTTCTTTGAATTATCAAAGGACTCAAGTAGTGTATGAGGCTATCTGACTTTTGTAACTTATGTACAACTTCTTACATTGTGTCATAAACATTTATGCAAACATTTGTTTCAAAAATGGTGCTCAAACTTCACCAAACTAAAGTGCTTTTCTACAAACTCTGTTGATTGGTGATATTATACATCTTGTGCATCAGAAAACCCCAAATTCACCAAAAAGCACCCATGGGAAACAGAAGAAAATATTATATTTCATATGATTTATGTAATAATCATCAACAAATGCAATTTTCTTCCGTTTCCCATGGGTGCTTTTTGGTGCATTTGTGGGTTTTCTGATGCACAAGATGTCGGTGAAGGTTAGACATGTCGCATGGTATGTTGTATTAACCTTGAAAGCGAGGAAAAGAGGAAAAACCACCACATATCTGCTTGGAGATGACGTACCCATGGCGTTGCTGTTGAGAAGCATGACGCCATTTGCCTTCCCGTCATCCTCCAGGCACATGTAGAACGGGTGGTGACCGTACAGGTTCTCATAGTTCTGTGTACAACGGTTAAAAATATAGGAAAGGGCTGTTGCGTCCAGAACTGTGCATTATCCAGAACCCCCCCCCCCCCAGGGAAAAATCTACAATCGTTGATACATGCATGGAGACTATGCAGAACAGTGCCTGAGCCTAACCGTGGCCCATTCAGGCATAGAACTAGATAGGAACGGTTCTGGATACAAAAAAGGCACATAGTATGACCAAGTTATATTAGCACATACAGTCTAAACTATCTATAATAGTGCGTGCATGCGACGCTGGTGTGTTACTCTGAAGGGCGGTTATACCGGCTATACAGATACAGAAGCTGGTGTGTTACGCCGAAGGGCGGTTATACCGGCTATACAGATACAGAAGCTGGTGTGTTACGCCGAAGGGCGGTTATACCGGCTAAACAGATACAGAAGCTGGCGTGTTACACCGAAGGGCGGTTATACCGGCTATACAGATACAGAAAACTCACCCCAAAAGGGTTGGCACCGCTGGCGAAGATGGGCCAAGTTTTCCAGTTGAGGTCGTGTCTGTAGCGCCTGTGGACGTGCTCCCCCAGTCCGTACAGGTTAGAACTGGCCAGCCGGGTGGACACAGACAGGAACTGGGCAGAAAACGTCAGCTTCCCCACAGAACTGTCGAATCTGGGCGGGGAGACCGAAATATGAGACATTAGTATTGCAACTTTACACTCACGTGGCCATAACGTAAGTATTGTCCGCCATATTGGATGTTTACACCTGGATGTTGCCAGTGAAATTTGAATGTAAAGCTCATTCTACTAGGTTTACCTGTAAAATAATAACGTGACATCATTATTAATAGCAAGTATCATTCCATTGAACCTCCTTGGTAATAGATTATAACTGTTATTTGACAATAATTAATTCCTTTCATGCTCTGTTATTCGAAGATTGTATCTAAACCGTGTGAGTTAGTCATGCCTCCTAAATTATCTACAGAAACATGACGTCATAACTGACATGGTGGCCCCGGTGCTCCTCCTGGTGACCTTGAAGCTGAAGGGCCGGTGTGTGAAGGTCACGCTATATATGGGGTTGTCCGCCGCCTGCCCGGGTCTGGGGACCCTCAGGGCCGCCTCGGGCACCTCGTACCGGGGAGAGGCCGGGTCCACGATCTGCGAAGGTTTTTTAACATCAAGATTAGAAACTGCGTTGTATTGTACTCACAACTGTGCCTATCTAGTTCTATGCCTGAATGGATTAGTGCTACGACCAGTCACGGTTCTGGATAGTCTCTGCCAAGAATGTAGATTTGCCCCAAGCATGGTTCTGGATAGTCTCCGCGTATCAAAGAACGTAGACTTGCCCCCAGGCACGGTTCTGGATACGCGTGGACTATCCAGAATCGTGCCTAGCCTCAGCATGGGTCTAGATAGACCACGGGTCTGGATAAAACACGGTGTTAAGATTTCAGATCATGTTTTGTGACTGCCAACATTACTAGATGTTCAACATGTAGTCTTCAAAGAGGCACATCTTAAAAATCGTTTTCTGGAAAAATTCAGCACAGGGAGGGGCTCAGTAAATAAAAGCAACATTTTATTTAGCAACATCGCTTTCAGTGGATTTTGAAAACTCTGGTAATTAGCGTACGTTTGTCGATGATTCAGTTTTTCTCATAGTGTAAAATATAAGTATCAGGGATTTTCTTCAAACGTTGTTAAAATATTGCGCTGCACAACAAACGAATTGCATCCGCTAGGTTACCAGAAGATTACATGTAACTTATTAAGTAAACAAAGAATGTACCACCAGTATACAATCATACTGACATTCGTAAATAGCTAAGTGACATGGGTACTATATTGTATCTCCAAACAATGTGGTCTAGTTAGCGTGTAAATATTTGAGCGTATCTTATACAAACCGGTCTACCTGTCCTGATAGTTTACACACCTTAATTTTACTTAGAAATGATGCTAGATGCATGGCGAAATGGTTTACAAACCTTCTCGTGCAGTCTGTGCTGTTTTTGCTTTTCTACAACCACCTCCAGCGTCTCGACGTCTCCCCCGTACGGGGAGGGCGGACTTTTCAAGTCTTCAGGAGACCTTAAAATGATTAGATTTTTGACTCCCTATGGGGGTGTTTTACATGAATCTATACTACGCCAGACAGGTAGCACAATGGTTTACAAACCTTCACGTGCAGTCTGTGCTGTTCCTGCATTTCCACCAGCACCTCGACGGTCTTCGCGTCTTCACCGTACATGGTGGGGGTGTCCAGGCGGCGCAGCGTGGCCCTGTAGCCCGCCGCCGTCTGCACCACCTCCCCGGCCACCTCGTACCCGTGGTTGGTCGGGTAGAAGCAGCCGGGCGGGCC